AATTGACCAAAATACCTTTGGAACTTTTCAAGGGTATTTTGGTCAATTTAATTTATGTAAATTATTTTTTTGATATTTTTATTAGATGAAACTATTCTTGAATAATGGACGCTCTAAATTTCAAGTAATTTGGATTTATAGAAAAAAATTAAAATTCAATTACGAAATACAATTGTGATCATTGGATCAATCCAGATTCAATCTGGGTCGTTGGGTTCCAAGAGCCCATGGGCCAACAGGAGTTTTTTCCATATATATATATATATATGAGAAAATTTATCTAAGGGTGAAGCCCTGAGCAACTAACTTAATGTGCGCCTCAAATATTCACTAGAAGAGGTTGTTTCGATGCCCAAAAATCCTCAAATCGATCATATTGACCTAAATATGTATGGACATTATAAAACAGTGGATTTCAAGTATTGGAGATAGTCCATCTTGTAATGCTATTTCTAGATCGTTGATTTTTAAGATTTTCAATTGTTCATAGATCTACTCGATCTATACTATTTTTGAAGCTTTAACTTTTATAATTAGAGATAAAAAATAAAATTTCAGGCCATAACAAAGATTTCCAGAAACATCTTTGGAAACCATTTAAAGGTGCATTATTTAGGGCCTCATGACAACCATGTGTATCCAAATGCACCTAAGAGATGAACAATCTAATAGTTTAGTCATTTTTTATTTTAATTAAAAAATCCCATCAGAATACAAATGATAGGGCATCAAAATACACGAGCAGAAATAGTTGGGAAAAGGGTAAAATGTAAAACATTTGTCAAGCTGATAAATCATACCTAATGGATTGCACGTTGAATAGGAAAGCAGAGAGAAAGCAGAGGATGATCAAGAAGAATTTGATGGAGGAGATGAGGGAGCTCGTGTCTCCATAAACTAGAGGACCACCAAGACCACCCTGCTTCTTGTTGTTGTTGTTGGAGACGCCATTGCTGCCGGTCATGATAATGGCGATAAGGGAGCTGAGCATGATGGCCGTTGATGCCAATAGGGTCGATGCCATTATGTTGTTCCGAAGGGTTTGAACAGCGAGCACCCCATTCTTCCCTGGGTCCTGAAAAAACAAACAAGTTAGAGAGAGAGAGAGAGAGAGAGAGAGAGAGAGAGTAGGTAGGTA